AATGGCAGGCAGGAGCCCATGGGGACAACTGGATCCCTGTGGTGTCCCAGTGCCACTGCCCTCAGTGCTGTGCCTGGCAGGAACCATCCAGGAGCTGCTGGTCAGGCCTGGTCAGAGCCCTCACTGGATCCCAGTGGGTGAAGGTCTCTGAGTATGGACAAACCCCCTCAGTGGAGAGGGGAGAGCTGCAGGCAGGGGAGGATTTATCTTTAACTGCAGAGTATTAAATAACATGGCCTGAAAGGAGAGCTGGGAATCCAGCCAGGAGTGACTCCAGACCCACCTCCCTGGACACACCAGAGCAGGAGCCCACGGAGCTGAGCCCACAGCTCTGCCCCTCGCTGAGGGCTCTGAGTGAGGAGTGCTGGCACGTGGAATTAGGACTTAATTAGAGCCTATTTTAATCCTGAGGGTTTATGGATTTATTTGGATCTATACCCAAGGGTCAGAGGGGAGAGAGACCCTGAGGGCCGAGCCAGGATGATAACCCTGAGCTTTACTGAGTTCTCATTGTTATAAGGAATAAAAAGGGGTTTTTAACTAATTCCCATCCCAGGCACCTGCAGGGAAGTGAGGGAGCAGCATCTCTCCCTATGCCCTGCATCCTGGAGTGTCCCACAGAGCCTGGGGGTGCTGGGCAGCTCCCAGCATCAGGCAGTGGGGGCTGGATGGATCCTGGGGCTAGTGGGGGTCACCTCTGTGCCCCCAGACACCCCTCTGGGGTGTTGGCATGGACAGCCAAGGAGCCATGACCCAGATTGGGGGAATGAGCTGGATTAAGGGTAAATCCCCTGGCCCCAGGGAGCAGCCAGGAGCACAGAGCCAGGCCCTGGGTAGATGGAGCCAGGCCCTGGGCAGGCACCCAGGCTGCTCTGAGAGCATCTCCCTGCCCTGCCCTGCTGCCCCTGAGCACTTGCAGACTCACCACTGCAGTGAGCACCTCACCTAGTGTCCCAGGCAGGGCCCTGTGCCCATCCCAGCACGGGGACAGAGATGTCTCAGGTGTCTAGAAGTGTTCCAGGCCAGGTTGGATAGAGCTTGGAGCAACCAGGGCTAGTGGAAGGTGTCCCTGCCCATGGCAGAGGGTGGACTAGATGGTCTTTAAAGTCCCTTCAACCCAAACCATTCCAGTTTTCCATAGAATCCCATTCCATAGAATCACCATTCCTGTGATTCCATGATT